TATTTCAAGTTCATCACGGGAAACTTGGACTTGTCTCAAGTCCATCAGGGCGATACCTGGACTGGTCTCAAGTCCACCACGGGGACACCTGGAGACAAACATACCTAGGGACAGTTGGAGTTACAGATGAACCCAACATGGAGTTTTCTGGTCTATGAGAAGAAACCTGAGAAACCCACAGGGACAACATGTGAACTCCTCACAGAGGCACCGGGGACAAACCTGTGACCTTCTGGCTGTGAGGCGACATCTCTAAACACTGCTCCACTGTGATGCATCAAAACATTTATTTTGTAACTTAAAAGGTAAAAAATGTGTTTTATTCAAATGTTTCTGGTTTTTGTTTATTTCTGGGTTCTGACCCGGTTCTGCTCCCCAGCAGGTGTGAAAGCAGAAGTCCTCGTTTGGATCCAGAATGAAACCTCTGAGGTGGAGGACGCAAACGAGACTCCCTCTGGACCAGAACTCTGTCAAAACCACCAGTCAAACTTTCACTTCCTGGTTTTCAGACGGTAAATAGAGCCAGGACGGCCCGGCAGCTCAGAACCGAGCTGCAGAACCATCAGGTGAGTACTCTGCAGTTCTCCGACACACACATGGACAGGGCCCAAAGGTTCTGATCCAGTCCTTCAGTTCTTTCAAGAACCCAAACTGTTCTGGACTCTTAAAGTGGTTCTGGACCAACAGTTCTCCACACTTCATGAAGCTTTTTCTTTGGACTTTTCTCCAGTCCCTGGACATTCTTAATGGATTTCTCAGGTCCTGGTTCAGGTCTTTGATGGATTTAGTTTCCTGGTTTCTTTCAGACCTTCAGATTCAGTTCAGATGGAGCTCAAACATCTTTTCTGTCTGTTTCCTGTTTTGAAACGGTCCAACCTGCTGCAGAGAGCTGTTGATCAGGATCAGTTCATCTTTTATTTCCTTTCAGTCGGACTTCCTGGGACTTTAAGAACTGAATTCATCTCTGGTCTGTCTCTAAAGGTTAAAGGTTAAAGGTTAAAACGATCCGTGCGAATATTAGAAGCCTGTTTTCTTCAGTCTGTAGGAGATGTCCTGCTCTGTGCTGCCCCTGCTGCTCGCTCTGAGTCCTGTCCTTTCCTTCCTGTTGCTGCCTGGGGTCTCCGCCTCACAGGAAGTACTCTGGGAGAACTACAAACATGGCCGCCTCAGCTCTGAGCTGCTTGATGAACATAACTGCAACTGGAAATGCCTGATGTTCACTCTGCAGTGGCCTGGAGGGTTCTGCCAGGTGGGTGTCACAATCCTCACCTTCATCTTCACCTTCATCATCATCATCATCATCATCATCATCAAAATTTAAATTACTGTTAAATCATTCATCTTCATGACATGACGAATATAAATTGTATAAATCACAGAAAAACAGAATTTTGAAAAGAAGAGAGACAAAAACGAGACAATATCTAAAAAGAAAGACTTGACTGAAAAAGAAAATGTGACACAAGATGGAGAAAGTAAGAAATTAAAAGTGGAGGTAAAGAAAACACATGATTGACGGAAGAAAGATGAGGAAGGAAAAGAGAGGAGGGAAAAAGTAAAATCTAAAGAAATGGAAGAAAAGAATAAAATGAACGACAGGACTTACAAGAAATGAGACATGTTCAAAAAATAAAGACGAAACAAAAACAGTGAAGAAAAGTGAATTAAATAAAAAGGAAATGAAAAACAATAAAATGTCATTCTGACAGAGAAAAGAGTTAAAAAGTGAATGTTGGGTAGAGAGTTGCATTCGAGCCCAAAAAAATCCGACCCGGCTCGGTAGCCATCATTTCCAAACCTCACCTGACCCGATGAATTAACAGTAATTACAGGTCCGTACCGTATAACGTTATTAACGGTTGGCGGACACACGCAGCTGAAGAGGCAGAAGATCAGAGCCGAGGGGGTGTTTGTCCTTTCATGGCCGTCAAAGCGCATTAAATCCCTTCTTCTGCTGCATTCTGCATTATTCAGACACGGACCCTGCTCTGACATGTCGGAGTTTTTGTGATGTCACCTGTTTGGGTCGTCGGCTGCGCGCGTCCGCTGAGCGCAGCTGAATCTTTTGTAATGACACCACCACCTTCTAAAGGAAAGAACAAAGAAGTCTCATTTGTTTGAATGTCTTTCTTTACTTTAACTGAACTTTTTTTTTTTTAACTCTTTCAACGCTGGTCAGCGCGCGGTCAAATGGCCGCATTCGGCAGGTGATTGTATGGCAAGCCATGTTGCCATATAATATGATTGTCAGCCGCACGCGTCCGCTGATGCGATCAAAAGCCCGACACTGACCCGGCCCGCACATTAAACACATTATTATGGCCCAGCTTGGCTCTAATCCGGGTCAGGCCGGGCCGGGCTCTAATGTTGGGTAAAAAGAAGGTAAACATGTTTGTGTACAAACTGAAATATTTCACTTTTTACGCTTAACTAAAATAAGCTGATGTGCAAACTGTACATGACAGTTGTGGTAAACTTTTCTTTTTTACTACGCTGAGTGTCTCTGTCCTTCAGTCTCTGAGCAACGAGACTTACTGCAAGGTTCCTCCAAACATCAACGACTGGACCATCCACGGCCTGTGGTACGTGTCTCACACACACACACACACACACAACGCCAACACTTTCAGAATAAAAGATCTCTTGTTACGAGGAACCGTCTCCATCCTGTTTGTGGTTCCACAGGCCCGACGGCGCCCAGAGGTGCTGCAGCTGCTGGCAGATGTTCCAGTCTGACGTCCAGGTAGTTTACGAAGCAGCTCTTCTTTCTTAAACGCACCTGGTCTCCAAACGTTCAACACAAATTTATTGGATGTGTTCATGTTTTCCAGGAGCTGAAGCAGAACCTGACTGAATACTGGCCGTCTTTACTAAAATCCAGAAGCTCTTTCCAGTTCTGGTACAACAAATGATGCTGTGTAGACGACCGCGTAGTTTCTGATTCCGTCTGTAGAGAGCAGCGTAGATTCTGGGTTTTCCATGCTGGCCCACAAATTTAACACATATGAAATATTATGTTAAAAGTTTTATTCAATATTTTTTTATATAAAATATATATTTTCATGTAGCTTTTTATGCAAGAAACTTTGTAATTTGTGTAAATACCAGTGAGTAAACCTCAGGGACTTCAATAGTTTCAGAGAAGGCCTAAGTATTCAGAGTACATGAAATGTTACATTTAAATTTTCTTTTACGTTTATTTATTTTTTTTATACCTTTTTCTTTTTTTGTTGCTATTTTTTCTTATTTTCTGAAAACGAATGAAATCCAATTAGATTCTTTTTAAATTTGGGTCTCCGGGCAGAAACACGTTTGAAGGAAGTTGCTCGTTGGTTAGGACTTCTCTGCCTCGAGTGAAGGCTGATGAGTTTGATCAGTGACTGACAGGAAAATGAGCCAATCACAAGGCTGATGTGGAGGGGGTGGGAGGTTCAGGAGCTCTGGGCGCCTGCAGGTAATTTTTAAACGGGCGAAGCCGTAAATTTGAAAAATTCAAACTGAAATGAAGGTTATACATAATTATCAATATTACAGATGTGTTTTGGTTTAATTACATGACATTTTGCAGAAACTGTAAGTTCTGTGGGTTACAGTAAATGTTAAGTGTTATTGTAATTCCATGTTAAATACATTCTGTTGTGTCAACGTTAGTGTTTCTCAGGTTGCTACTTTGTGTTGGAGCTGAAGGCCCAGCTCTTGTAGTCACGGTTTCCCACGGCTGTAGAGGGCAGAGCTTTTGTAGCAGAACCGCAGCATCAGACGAGTGACGTTCTGTGATTTATTCTTTGTTACAGGAAGGAGGAATGGAATAAACACGGCGTTTGTGCAGCATGTGTCGAAGGATTCAACTCTCCTCTAAAATACTTCCAGGTTTGCCTGAAATTACGGCAACACTTCGATATCTACAGGTGAGTGGCGAGCTCCGTGAGGTTAGCCCTCCATTAATTAAAAATGAATTAAAGTGTGTGTTCTGCAGCTGGTTGGAAGCTGCCGGCATCACGCCATCCTGCGAACGACTCTACAAGGTAACAACCTCGTTTATTTATTTTTGTTTACTAATGCAAAGATCACACCAGGCAAAGAAGACAACTAAAAACGACTGGATAGCTTCAAAGTGTGGGGCGCGCCTCCCCCTAAGGGGCGATCAGAGGGGGGGACTCCCCTACACGTTGAAGACCCCAAATTCAAAGTTTTTATGGGAGTTCCAGCTGAACCTGATCTGTGAAGGTGTTGGAAACAACCAAACTCAAAGTCCTCCTTCTGTTTAGGTTGTCGAGGTGAACGACGTCCTGGCTCCACATCTGGGAGACAAACATGAGATCCAGTGCGTCAAAGATCAAAAGGTCAAATCATCGACTCTTCTTTCTATACCAGAAATACGTTTCTGAGAAAATGTGACGAGTTTTCTGACAATTCAACGTGTTGATCAGAGAAGCCTTAAAGTTGTAAATCTGAGCTGAAGGGAACTAAAAAAAACTGTAAACGAGGATTAAACTGTAAAATATGCAGATTAATATGCCATTTACAGAGTAAACTGTAAAAAAAAACTAGACTAAACTGTAAACTAAGTAGATTAAACTGTAAAATGTGCAGAATAATCTGAAAAAATGCACAGAATAAACTAAAAGTGCAGATAAATCTGTAAAACACCCAAATTAAATTGTAAAAAGCCTACATAAGTAAAATGCACAGATTAAACAGCTCAGGTTAAAATGACAAAACTACAGATTAAACTGTGAAAAGTGCAGAAATCAGGCAGAATAATCTATAAAGTTCACAGATTGGCAATGAAAAACCCAGGGTAAAATGTCAGAAACCTACATTAAAAACTGTAAAATCTGCAGAAACAGATTAAAACTGTAAAAATCCCAGGTTAAACTGTTAAAAAAAGAGAAAATTATCATTGAACACATTATTTAAACTGTAAAATATGCAGATTAAACTGTTAAAAAATGCAGAATAGTGAACAGCTCGGGAGGATAAAATGTCAAAACCACAAATTAAACTGTAAATCACAGATTAAATTGTAAAAATCCCAGTTTAAACTCTAAAGAGGTGAATTATATGTATAAAAAATTGCAGATTAAGTTGTAAAAATCCCAGATTAAACAGCAAAAAGAGGTGAATTATATGTAAAAACTGCAGATTAAGTTGTAAAAATCCCAGTTTAAACTCTAAAAAGAGGTAAATTATATGTAAAAAGTGCAGATTAAACTGTAAATATACCAGATTAAATTGTAAAACAAATTAAACAGTGAGTGCCTCAAACTGTAAAACATAAAGGATGAAGTTTTGTTTTGAAGAACAAAATATTTTTTGTTTTAAACAAATAATCTGTTTAAGTGAATGTTTTTCTTTTTCAGAGCCGAGAGGTTCTATATCAGGTGAAGGTCCGACTGACTCAGAATCTGACCTTCGGCTGCGATCACCATGGCAACACCGCAGGGTCGGGCCCAGAACCGCTCCCGTCCACTGGACACCCATGTCCCCCAGATGTCCCTTTTTACTATTTACCCATAAACCCGCAGCAGCCGTGGAGGCCCTGCAGCTAGCTGCCCCTCCATCCAACATGTCTGACCATCCATCATATCTGTCCATCCAACGTCTGTCCATCCATCATTGATCCTTCATCCATCATCATCCATCCCAGCCCTCAGAAGTGGTTTTCATCAGATTTTGAAGTAAACATTAAATTATAATCTGACCTTTTGTTTTTGTGTTTTTTTACTTTGAGGCAGAAAATGCTGAGCTGAAATAAAAGCAGAATTTCATCAACTATTTTTGTCCGTTTGAATAAAACTTTTTGTGGGAAGACAGGAATAAAAATAAGCTTTAATCTCCATCTGGTCCAGCTTTAACGTGTTCATGAGCACAAAGATGAAAACGTTTCAGATTAAAGAGTAACAACAAAAAGCTGCAGCAGCTCCCGACATGTTTTATTTGAACAGAAACACTAAAACACTACAGTAAAAAAATAAAGCAGAGAGGAGACCATCAGCTGCAGCTCATCAGTTCTCTGAGGGGGAGTCTGTCCCTCTGCTCGTCACTTGTCCCTCCGGCCGTCCTTCAGTGCTCCAGCCGGCCCAGGAACCGCAGGTTGAGGATCTTCAGCTGGTCGTCCAGCTCCATACGGACGATTCCATCGTCTCCGTCGATGCTCAACAGGATCCCTGTGGCCTCACGGTCTTCTCCCAAAATCACCTTCACCTGCACACGTGGGTCAGCGAACACATCATTACAACACTAAACTGTAGAACTGACAGCGAATGCATCATTACGACAAACCGTAGAATGGGACAGCGAATGCATCATTACGATACAATAAACTGTATAACGGACAGCGAACGCATCATTACAACAAACTGTTGAATGGACAGCGAACGCATCACTACAATAAACTGTAGAAAGGACAGCGAACGCATCACTATAAAATAAACTGTATAACGGACAGCGAACGCATCATTACAACAAACTGTATAACGGACAGCGAACGCATCATTACAACAAACTGTTGAATGGACAGTGAACGCATCATTACAACAAACTGTAGAATGGACAGTGAACGCATCATTACAACAAACTGTAGAATGGACAGCAAACGCATCATTACAACAAACTGTTGCATGGACAGCAAATGCATCATTACGATACAATAAACTGTATAATGGACAGCGAATGCATCATTACAACAAACTGTTGAATGGACAGCGAACGCATCATTACA